TCAATAGCCTAAATGCAAAATAACAAATTGGTGCAGCAGAATTTTTTTGTACCATTCAGATTTCTTTATTCTTTATTATTATTATTTTTTTTTTACATAAATCCTATGAAACCAATCTGTATTCAATGTAAATGCTAGCATAGGTTAAGGTTAAAGTACATCCACAAATAATATATACTGTTTACCTTTTATCAACTTGCCCTCCAAATCAAGGCTCAGCAGATAAAACAAAAAGACACTAGAAAAACAAAGCTTATATGAAACTAAACCAATTTGCTCTTTATTCAGCTAAATTACTCTCAAATGCTGGAGTTGCAATTTTTACTTAAGTATTTTAATGCAAGAGAGAGTAGGGATTATTCTTAAAAATACCCACATAAAAGTTTATAGAACTATGCAGTAAAACTACTCCTAAAAATACTTATTTTCTGTAAAAAAGTACTCAAGTAAATGTTACAAGATAAATGTAAGTAGTTTCGTCCAACCTCTTTCCAGAGATGTTTGGGCAAGAAACAAAGTACAACCTGAACAGGTTTGTAGTCCATCAATGCAGTTTATCAAATCTAAAACAAATTATTTGTAGCAAAGTTTCTGCTTCTGTATCTAGAATGTCAAAAAATTAGTTGCACACTTGCACAACAAACCCTTTTGGTAACTGATGCTAAAAAAATTTATTAATACAAAGAAAGAAGAAGGAGGGAGAGAACAACTAGTGCTCAAGTGAACATATTTGAACTTTGAGAAATAAATAATAGAGATATATCTGTCTAGCAATGTCATAGTGGAGCTGCTTTGTTAAAATTCCAGCACACCATCAGGAAAAGGATAATTCTAAGAAAGATGGAATGAGAGAGCAAAAGCATGAATAAAATAACCTCATAGGGCTTGATGCATATCTCTTTTTATTTTTAGGTGGTTATAAGCAAATCAAAATGATTTAAAGCAGTTATAAAGTTTAGAAAAAGGATGTTTCTTTCTCATTTTTATGTTAAATTCCAGAACTTAATCCAATTCTAAATTAGGATGAAGATTTAAAAATTGCACTATTCATTGCTCATCTGCTCTGACAGAGCTGTTCATATAAATTTTTTACATATTTCCTTTCACTTCACTGTCGGAATTGCTTTTTATCTTGGCTATCAAAAAAGTAGTCTAAAAAGCATACACTGCATGCTTTATTATGTTACCTTTCGATTTCAGTAAACCTTTAGACTTATTATTTTAAAGATAATGGTAAATCATCCAAGAGGGCTAATTTAATATCCCTAACACCCAAAAAGATATTCTTACACACTGCAACATCCCCAAACAAAAGAATACCATCACATTCGCTGAAGCCAACAATGTCCCTGACAGCAATGTCAGATTAGAGTTTAATGCAGGAAAAAATCTGAGGATCTCTAAAGTCAGATAGCAGTATCAATATCCATTTAATGGATGCTGAAATGATTTAATTTGGGCTGAAAATACAGACAATCAAGCCATTCCAATAAAGAAAATACCAGTAATGACCATGAAAAGAAGCATGAAACAGAGATGAAAATGAGCTTGTGACACACATAACATTAATCCATTTACACGAACATAGGCAGAACAAAGAAAAAGACTTAAGCTCAGTCTGTTTTAGCTGTTTTACAGGACATTCAGTCTTTCCTCCAGCAAGAAAAGGTTCAGAAATGTATTGTGTGACATCAAGATGAAAAGATGGAGACTAATCACACAGTTGTGTTCTGCTGCTCTCATATAGTTTGTTACGCGCTTCCCTCCGAAGTCAGGCGATGTTTCATTTCGGTTCGCTGCTCTAACATGGTTATCTCTTTATTAGATCACTGCTGCATTATACATTATGTATAGAGTTGATGTCAGGGGACCAGATTATACGAGTCAACAAACAAACAAAAAATGAATAAATAAAAATGTTTTGAAAAATAATTTTAATATTTTTCACAAGTAGCAGAACATTTTATCATTTATTCAACCATAAAAAAGTAAAAAATCTGTTTTTCAAGCGAGTTGAGGCCAAAAGGCAGCAACAAATATAATACGCTGCTGAAATGTTTTCTAGTTCTTGTATTAATATTTGTTTGGTCCTATTAACCTGGGGAGAGTCATTGTTGGTTTCACAGGTCTAGTTTAACCAGTTACAATATGAATGTATACTTTATGTTTGAAATATGTATCTATAATCTTCAGAAAAAGATGCAGACGGTAGGAGTAGGTGGAGACTCACGATTCATTGTGACGACCCATAAAAGGGAAAAGCTGAAAGAAGAAGTTTGTATGTTCTGTTAGATCTTCTCAGACCAGCAAAAATAAACCTGCCGATGAGATCTGTGTCCCTTTAATTCATGTCATTTAGGTGCGATGTCCTTTACTTTTTAAAAGTGGATCTGCTTTGGAATACCTCACTCAAATAGTTGGTACGGCTATGGAAAACTTGACTGTACATACAGAGGAGGTAATAAAGCTATTTGATTCAGGTGTTAAAGTAGAGACACATTGAGGAACCCCTTTCAAAAAAGTAAAAAAACAAAACAAACCAATAATAATTTTATGCTTTTAAAAAATTTTTCTAAAAAGTTCAGAGCTGTTCCAAAGACTTCATGCGTTTCTGATTAACTCACTCACTAAGCCATTGCTGATGTTAAATTGATATTATCCTGTTAGTTTCCGGGTTTTAACCATCTAGATGATGATTGTCATCATTCCCGCCACCATGCCTGAAGTGGCGGGGGGAATTGGTTGCACAAATAAACTCATTGATGTGGCCAAATTTTCTTCGGCTGAATCAAAACACCTTGAAGTTCTAGTTTTTGGGCTAAAAGATGTACGTTCAAAGTCAGCACACAGCTTCAGTGAAAACAGTTAGAAATGATCAGTCAGGCTCCAGAACCTGACCTGAACCGTCAGAGGCTCATAAAGACAGTAAAAAACTTGGCCTTCTAACACCTAAAGGACATATTTAGGATTAAAAGAGTATTGTCTCTGCGGGACCTTGAAAAATAAAAGTCATATGTTAATCTTTGGTAGAACTGATTACCGCAACAGTTTCCTCACAGGTTTGCCTAAAAAGTCAACCAGACAGCTGCAGCTGATCCAGAACACTGCTGCATGCGCCTTCACCCTACCTTAAAGTGAAGCACAACAACCCAGCAAAATCATTACACTTCCTCAACGTATTATAGAGAAAAAACACTGCAATGCTTCTGTAAATCTATAAATCACTGGATGGTTTAGTGCACCAATAACCTTCTGGCTCTGATCTACTTTATATAACCAGGAGCAGAACCTAACGTGGAGATGAGCATTTAGTTCTTATGCTCCAGTAAACTGCAATAAACTCCCAGAAAACAGTAAGAGTGCTGAAACCCTTGGTTCCATAGAATGGAAATTAAAGACGACATTTGTTTAGAATGGCTTTTGTATGAGCTATTTAAACATTAGTTTATATTTGTAGTGCAACTTTTGCTCCATGATTTTAATAATTGTATATTTTTTATGTAAATCTATTCTTATAATGATTTACTTGTTATAATAATAATAATAATAATTGTACTTTGTTGATCTCACATTGGAAAAATTATTTCTGCATTTAACCCATCCCCTTGGGGAGCAGTGGCCTGCCATTGTGTGGCACCCAGGGAGCAGTGTGGTGTTAAGGGTCTTGCTCAGGGACCCAGAGTGCAGTGGGTACTTGCAAATTTCTCAGAGCAAAGGCGCACTGCTTTGACCCACTAGGCCAACACTCCCCTCATCTTTAGTTCTCTTTAATTATTTGTCATGCCTCAGTTTCACTGAACTTTTCTGTAAAGAACTTTGAATTGTCTTGCCACTGAAATCTCCTATATAAACTGAACTTGCCTTGACTTGTCTTAAGATATTTGGTTTTATGATATGGGCAGTTGAAAATTTCAGTCAGGGTTGATAGTTGATTTCAAATCAAGGAGAGTTTTATCTAATGCTACCCTTTAAGTAAATGACTGGTAAAACTGACTTTATTGAGATGCTGGCATTCTATAGTTCAAGTTCATGTAATGCTTGCTGGTTCTGTGTTGATTTTGTAAATACCAACATATTATTGTTTTATTTGTTGATATATTTGTTGCTATTGTTTTTATTCTTGAACATGATTTGGGTTCCTTCAAATCATTTTAAAGACAAAACTGATATTTTTTGAAGGGTTAAAACAATCTTGCATGAAATAGCTGGATTAACTCTAGCCCTGAACCTGTTGAAAATATAATAAGGGTGCATAAAGATAAATAGCAACTGACCAAGGTATTGAAATAACCCCACCTTGTCTGTAGTGGACCTTTGCACAGTTGAAACTTTTTTTTTTTGGGTTTGATTTGATTTTAGGAATTTATTCAAAAACTACAATTAATGCATAATATAGGTCCATCCGTTAATATAATTTTTTTTTTTTTTTTTATTCTGTTGACTTTGATAATTGTGGCACAAAGTACTTGAAAAACCCAAATCTTTGTCTGTTAAAAAAGTAGAATAGGAAATTAGAAAAATCACAAAATAATATATTTTATTACATAAATGCTGCCAAAGGAGAGGCGTCATTTTGATATATTATGCAATGGAGTGAAGTATTTTTACTATTACATTTTTTGTTATGGAATTACCTAAGATATTAAACTTGCAAGAGCATTACATGCTTAAAGACAGATAACAGTCAGCTGAACAAGACATTAAATTTAACTCCACCATTTCTGATACGAGGAGTAGTTAGATACAAGAGCAATTACTCGTTAATGGCCACAACATTATTTTAGATTTCTCTGCAATTTTTTAGGACACCAATTTCTAAACATAAACACCCTATTCTTTTTTATAACGTTTTTACATTGCTGAAGTTATTTGTTGTAAAACCTTCCATACTGATAAAGGAAGAGCTAAAATGCATCATTAGAATATTGTGAAAAGCATGATAGTAATTTGTAAAAAAAAAATCATGATTTATTTATTGCGTACCTCTGTCTTGTCTCCAGGTAACATCTTTGTGGTGAGCTTGTCTGTAGCAGACCTGGTGGTGGCTCTCTACCCGTACCCCCTGGTGCTAACAGCTATCTTCCACAATGACTGGACCATGGGAGACCTACACTGTCAGGCCAGCGGCTTCGTCATGGGGCTGAGCGTCATCGGCTCCATATTCAACATCACGGCCATTGCAATTAACCGTTACTGCTACATCTGCCACAGCCTCCACTACGACCGTCTCTATAGCCTGAGGAACACCTGCTGCTACCTGGGCCTCACATGGTTGCTCACAGCCATCGCCACAGTGCCCAACTTCTTTGTCGGCTCTCTGCAGTACGACCCTCGTGTCTACTCCTGCACCTTCGCTCAGACTGTCAGCTCGTACTACACCATCTCAGTGGTGGTCATCCACTTCCTGATCCCACTGCTTGTGGTGTCCTATTGTTACATGCGTATATGGGTTCTGGTGATTCAAGTGAAACATAGAGTGAAACCGGAGCAAAGGACAAGACTGAAATCCAGCGATGTGAGGAACTTCTTGACTATGTTCATGGTGTTTGTGTTGTTTGCTGTGTGCTGGGCTCCCCTGAACCTTATAGGCCTGGCTGTAGCTATAAACCCTGCAAAAGTAGCACCCAACATACCAGAGTGGCTATTTGTCACAAGCTACTTTATGGCATATTTCAACAGCTGCCTCAATGCCATAATTTATGGAGTACTAAACCAAAACTTTCGTAAAGAGTACAAAACAATCCTCCTTGCTCTTTGTGTTCCACGTTTGCTCCTCATGGAAACATCCAGGTGTGCCACAGAGGGGCTGAAGAGTAAGCCGTCACCTGCAGTCACGAACAATAACATAGCTGAAATAAATGTATAAATTGATGTTACACTGAGCAAGTACTAGTGCCATGTTTCACTCAGTGCCTGTTGTGGACGTGTTTTTCTTGTTTATATCTGTGGAGAGTTTTAGTTATTCCCCAAACCTGTGCACAGTTGAAACTTGGGGGGAAAAAAGTACTGAGTTTTCAAAGTAACATCAGTGCCTCTTGCTACATTACAAGATTCTGAAAAGATCATTTAATCTAAGGAAATTCATTTAAAAACTACAACAAATTCATAATATAGGTCCATCACGCACGTTAATGTAATTTGTTTGCTTTCTTTAAAATTCTGTTGTCTTTGATCATTTTGTCTCACAATACTTGAAAAACACAAATCATTGTCTATTAAAAAAGTTGAATATGAAATGAGAATAATCATAAAAAATATATATATTTTATTATATAAATGCTGCCAAAGGAGAGGTGAGGTTTTCTATACCTTATGCAACTGAGTGAAGTAGTTTTACCAGTAGATTTTTTTGTTCTGAACATAAGATATTAAACTTGCAGGAGTATTATTTGCAAATGCGTTGTTTTCTGTGTTCTTGTTTGAAATCACCAGTTTATGTTGTTTGCTCTTAAACAGGATTCCCTCTCTGCAACATTTAGCATGTTGATTGGCAGAGAGGAACAAAAATAACATCCATTGGTTAAAAATAACAAAACAGATCAGAAGTGGAAGAAAACTACTTTCCTGGATATTTTTAAAGGATTTTATTGCAGGTTTTATTTTTGTCAAGAATCTATTTTCTACCACAAAGAAAGTCTTCTTTCCTACTTTTTCTCCTCTTTCCTTGCTATCTCAAACACAGCATTAATGAAAGAAAGCCCCGAGCTTTGTAATTTTCCTTCAAATACAATCTTTTTAAGCTTTAATGATCAATTAATTACCAAAGACTTAACGTTCTTATTTGGATTAAGTGGAACAAAGTTTTAAGTAGCCTTTGATTAAATCTGCAGTGAAGTTGTCAAAGTAATATTTCCTCTATGGCTTGTGTTAACATCTCAGGCTCATTTTAATAGAAAACATGTTATTTAAGCACCACAACAAGGTTTCACTGCCTACACAAAAACAGAAATATTGAAGAAACCTATTTCATTCAAAACCCTCCAATGGTTTTGAATTAGAAAAAATGTGTTTGAATGGAAAATTGCGTTGCAGTCTAAGAATGCTTTATTCGAGCCACTTTATCTTTTTCATACTTTGCCTTTTTAAACTGACGGGCTCAAAGCCCGTTTTGAAAATTACTCTGAATGATTTGGAAAGTGTCAAAAGAGGAAGAGTAGCTGATAAACAAAGCTGGCCCTCTTGTTTATTAAATGCCTTGGAGACATGGGATGCATCAGAAGCCAGGGAGATGTAATTTCATGATAATGCAAGTATGCCTGAGCGCATGTCACCCTCGCTGAGATGAGCTCTGACAGCCTCCCAGCATAGCTTCCACCCCCAAAAACAAACTATGAGCATTTCACCTTACAGGGAGCCTCAGAGATGACTGCATGACACATTCTTGAAATGATGCACTCTTTGTTGAAATATTAAAGATTACCCTTTCCAAATGACGCATTCAGGATTTATAAACTTTCTAAGAGTATAACATTTCACATTTACTCAGAGATCCATCCGTTGACTTTTTGACACTGAGCTGTGGTTTATGGCCTCTGAGCTTAGATAGGATGTTGGATGTCAGAGTCAAACGAGTCAAGCGTAAGGAGCCAGGTGCTGTCAAGTTTCTGAGCTGCAAAAGGGGCCACATAACTGTTCTCTTCTACTTCTTACAAATAAGTGACTGTGACGTGCAAAAGAAATGCGGCGCACATGCCAGGGAAATGTCAGCTACTGGTTAGCAGCTAAAGCAGCTCGGGGGGATATGACAGCAGTTGCTCTACCACAACAAGTACTTATACACAAATGGGTCAACCCCCTCCCCACCACCGCCATTCTGCCTTCTGCTGCTATTTATTCTTTTCATTTTTTGCTCTTTTATTTATTTTTCAGTTTACTTACTTAGACTACTGTCATAGAAAGAATTTCTGTCTTTTAAACTGTTCCTTATTTTAGCACAGTCCATTCACAAACTTCATTGGATTAAATTGGCATTTTATTTGATAGATATGGTGGCCCTGAAGTCCAAACCATATCAACACTAACTAGGCAAATCTTCAAAACATAAAAGAACCATATAACATTAATTAAAACAAAACTACAAAACAAGAACCACTACAACATTTAATGAAACCTCAATCTTATACTACCGGTAGAAGTAGGGATTAGTGGGAAACATAAACATCTGTGATGGACTCTAGCTTATATGATCTTAGAACCAGAAGTTTTTCAGCTTGCGGTGCCGATTTAAAATGATTGATGTTATCGGTGAATCCATTATCATTTAAAGAAGGAGTTATCACACTCTTTGATCTAGCCAACCATGGTCATGTGGCAAAAAATAACTTCCTTCTTCTCTCTGAGATTTTTAGTAGTTATAGAAATTTCATCTCATAAATGATGTGCACTGATTACCTCCCTGGCTATGCATTTTGTAGGATCGAAGGGGACATTTATCGCTGTTCTAAATGACATGAGATTGCAAACACATCGTAGAATACTGCCTGAGTGAATAATTTTTGCAGGAAGCAATGCAATCAGCTGAGTTTCCTTAGATAGAAAACTTTTAACCGATATTTCTCAATAATTGAATTGAATGTAATTGAAATGAGTTGAATTGAGCTGAATGAAATAAAATGAAATAGATTTGAATCAAATAATAATAATAATCTGGACTTGAATCAAATCAAACTGAATAGACGTACTTTGTTCTATTCAGAGAGTTACTCTGTAACCTGTGGAGATGATTTTACTCTGGGAAATTAGTCATAAAATGAATCACATTGCGAATAACAGTGATCTTTGTCAGAAACTTACAAGACTCATAACCTTCACAAGATCCTTTCTGCATATATCAATGTTTTATTATCACAACTGAAGATTAAATAGGTAGACACAGGGTTAAAGTGTGCACTTAATATTGAAGACATGGATTCATAAGCAATAGCTCAGCCAATGATTCCCTCCAGGACCATGTCAAAGCTCGCACCACAAAAAAAACTCTAAATCCATTCTGCCATACGATCTCATAGAACATTGGGTGTTTTGATGTCAATAGCAATCAGCACTCTGAAATGAATGGCACCATGCAGACAACTTTAGATTCTCCTGGACTGTACCTCCGATAGCCTAAGACAGATCAAAGGTCATTTTTGGTGGGACTGATGCAGCAATTTGCCCAATATGACATAAGTAAGAGAGGAAGTAAGACATGGTGGCGAAGCAAAACCTTTCTGCTTTGTGGAAAATATAAACTAATATAATTAAATCCTGATGTAAACATTACAGATTTCTGAATGCAGTACTGAAACGCTAAAAGGCTATTTCTGTTGGGGCAGTAAGTGCATTTTTGTGCAAATATTTGCTTGTGTTTATAAATTGGATTTTATATTTGCATCTCTATATCTTCGTACTTGAATGTGACATTTCAAGAATTCAGTCATTTTTTGACAGAGCCTCTAGTTGGAAAAAAACGTCATATGATGGTCTTGAAAATAAACGTTTAACTTCAATCTTGTTCTGTATTCCGCAGTGTAAAAGTAACACTTTAAGAGTGCATTTGGTCTGAATTAGTGCTTAAAATAACTCTCTACATAGTGTAAATCTATTCAATTCAATTCAGATATTTATAGCGCCAATTCACGACACATGTCATCTCAAGGCACTTTACAGAGACAATTCCACCAGATCATATAGTCAGATTGGTTCAGTGTTCTAAGAAAAACTAGGTGATTGCATCGACTTATTGACTTGAAGGTTATGAGTCGATCCAGTTGTTGTTCTAATAACTCTAATAGAGTCAATATAATTTGACACTGCATATTTAACACTGTGAAATATTACAGACTTGCATTGGTGACGTGTTGATGTTACTCAGTGGGCCTGTTTACAGCAGCCTTGCTTCTACCAGCTTGCCCCAGGGCAGCTGTGGCTACAATGTATCAGACAACTTTAATTTCCACTGTTACATTGATTATACTGACCTATATCTGTCCATTTATCCTCATAAGTGCTGACACTAGTGTGTGATGTTAACTTTAGATACAATACACAACTGTTATATTAATTTCACTTTAAACTATTAAGACTGTTTCCGACTCTTTCACAGTGTTATTTGTTTAAAAATTTTTATTTCAACACTTTTTAAGAGTGTTTAATTCTCTGTGTCGTATACAAGGGGCAGTAGCACAACAAAAATGTTGACTGAGGTTCTTTGTGATGGTCTGGTGACCTGTCTGAGGTGTATCATGTGACCTTGACAGATAAGTGGCAGAAGATGGGGGGGTGGAATGATGAAGGGATGGATGGACGGACGGACAGATGGATGGATGGATGCTCAAAATAAAATAAATCTTGCATAAATAGTGCAGCCAAAAAGCATAAAGAAAAAAAGCAGAGACAAAGTAAAGGCATTAGGGTATCACTTTGATGAAGCCGTAACTGGAAAGCAGAAAGAAAAAGTAGGATAGTCCTCTAAGCAGGTTAAGCCTTTAGCATAATGATATACAGCCATTATAAATGCAAAGGAGGTCCACCTTGATATATCTAGTGATGTGTCTCAGACAAAATGACTCAGAAGCTGAAAAAGTGGACCCTCCAGCACCACCTGCAAGGATGTACCGAACACTTTCTGAATGGTAAGTAAGTGGCCTATTGTTAGTTTTGGCTTGTGCAAAAGGACAATTCAGGTTTATGCAAACAGCAATACAATGCATAAAAGACAGAGTATGAAGAGCTTTGATTATCTGCAGATTTGATGAACAGTGTGGACAGAACTTTCTATCAGTCAAAATATTTCAACCAACAACATTTTTATGTTCCAGCAGCCATTTTACATGGTATACAGCAGCACAACCAGCTCATCAAACATGCAGGGTGAAGCTCCACTTGGGTTGTGGGGAAAGGAGCAGTGCCCCATGATTGTGATATAATAAAAAAATTTTTTTAACAGTTTTCCTAGAAACCAACTAATTATTTACTAACTGTCCAAAAACAGCTTTAGTTTTTATTTTATTCTATGTTTTTTGGCTCTTTCTAGAAGCAAACAATACCAAAATAAAAGTACCAAACTTGCAAAAACAGCAATTTAGGATGATACATTACCCCTTTGATTTATTGTATTCCACTTCCTGGTTAAAAAATATAATAGTCCAATCTTGAAGCATCAAATATACAAACAGCTTTTGAATTTCTGTAATTTTGTGGTAGGTAAAAGATAAAAGTCCCCTAAATATATTAAACATATGGTTTAAATATCATATTCTGTTAAATGATGATATCAAGGTCATCCAAATTATTACCAATTTCATAATAATGGCAAATTTCCAGCCATGAGAAATGA